AAATCACAAAAACAAATATTAACTAAAATTAACGAAAAACAAAAACCAAACATGGAAATTTGAAAAAAAAATCCAGAAAAATCAACATACCTTTACAAATATTTCATCCTCTTTGGGTTTATATAGTCAAATTTGACCATGAAAACTCCAGATCTGGAATTTTCATGATTGAATTCGACCATGAACACCAAAATTTGTTTGTTTTCGTTGCTCAAACCCTTGGACCAAAATCCAAAAAGGAACAAAGAAATAGTGAGTAAAAAAGGGTAGAGGAGGAGTGCCGGTGAATTGAATAAGTTGAGCACCTGTGAAGAAGGCGAGCGTGGCTGCAGCGACATTTAAAGAGTAAAGGAAGGAGGAAAGAGAAGAGAGAGAAAGGAGATTGAAGAGGTGGCTGGAGCGTTGTTAAGAGAACATAGGAAGGAAGAAAGAGAAAAGGTGGTTGGAGCAACGTTCAAAAAACAGAGGGAGGAGGAAAGAGAAGAGAGAGAAAGAGAAGAGGGGCGTGGGAAAAAAGACAGGAAAAAGGAGATGTAGTGGCGTGAGAATGAAAATTAGGGTTAGGGTGAATTGAGCACCCCTTATATACCCAATTTTAAAAAAAAACAGTTATTATAACCGTTAAAAACGATCGCAATTTTGCGACCGTTGGTCGCAATTTGTGCAATTTGCAACCGCTTTTTACGGTCGTAATAGATTAATTTTTTTTTACAATTTATTTAAAAAAAATTGTTCAAATACTGTTGCGACCGTTTTTTGGGACAAAAACGGTCGCAATTCTGTGACCACTTATAAAACGGTTGCATATTGCAACTTTTGCGACTGTTTTTACGAAGGTCTAGAAAACCGGTCGCAATTTAATCGAATTTTACGGGAAGATTAAAGATTTCATTTTTGAAATAGCCAAACGGCACTTACAATCAATTTTTGAGAAATTTAAAATTCCAACAAAAACATATAAAACCCTAAAATTAACATCGCAGAATCAATTGATAATAGCCTTAACAAAAAAAACTTCATCCAAAGCAATATAATCTGTGAGTTCGCTCTAATTCGGCATAAGATCTGCAGATGCATAATTTTTTGGATGAATATCCTTTCGTGGTCTTCTAAACTCCGGTAGAAATTGTGAAACCTTCGATCTTCATTCTTCAATATAAACAAGTAATTAAAATCTCTACCATGAACACCATCTTAAGGATGGTATCTTTTTATTGAAAGCAATTAAAGAGATTTTGGGCTTTCCACCGGTAAAAACCAGCGGAAGCCCCTACAAAATTCACAAATAAAAATCAAGAATGAAGGAGATGAAAAAAATAGGGAAGGATTGAAGAAAAAACAAAGAAAAAACCCTAGCAAAAGAGGCTAGGAAAAACCCTCCCAAGGGAAAAACCTAGAGGGAACTATCTCTCTCTAAAAACTAGAATTTTAGTAGTGTTAGAGGGTTTAGGCTTTGATTCCTAATATAATTATAATATTATTATAAATAAACTAGGTGTATAGGGTTGAACATACAAGTGAGGGATGGAAATGGGTCCTAGACCCGACCCATATTTTAGGGTCCTGGACCCAACCCATATTTTAGGGTCTAGGTCCTTAAATTTTAGACCTGATGGGTCTAGGTCGGATCTAGGTCTGGGTTTGATGTGACCCATTTACCCGTTTTTTATTTTTTAAAATTTTTTTTAATAAATAAAAAATGTATACTTGACATAATATTATTAAAATAAACCATAGATTTTAGAGAGAGTACGTCAGCAAAACAACAAGCAATCTTAGTTTTTAAGTTTTTTTCATATATTTTCTTTACTTTTTAATGAACAAATTATTTGTGCATCAAAAATATGAACAATTTTTTTATTATGCATCTTTTATTATATCAAGTAGTAGTATAGTTATAGCTTATAATATATAATTCCTCCGTTAATGGTTAATTGCAACAAAGGAATATTTTATATCTCACAAATAATACCCCTTTATTGCAATTAACCATTACCGAAGGAAGTATATAAAAGATTATGAAAAATAATAAAAGATTATAAAAAATCATATAAAAGTATATTTGGACCCGTTTTAGACCCGAAACCCGCTAGACCCGATGGATCTGAGTCTGGGTCTGATTTTTTAAGACCCGATGGGTCTGCGTCGGATCTGGATCCACTTTTAAAATTCTGGATCTGGGTCTCAGTGGACCCGACCCAAACCCAACTCATTGCCATTCCTGCATACAAGATTGAGTGATTTTTTAATAAACCCTAATTAGCAAACACAAACCCTAACCTCTCTCTCCCCTTGCGGCGGTGTGCGTGCACAGTGGTGGTGTTCGTTGTTATGGTCGGTTGTCCATAAAGGTGGTGATCAAGATGCATTCCTCCATCATCCGACCAATATAACTTGGGTGGACGACTCGTTCGAAACCAGTGGACTAAGTAGAGAAGCAACACTTTAGTCAATCGCAACGTGAAAATCACGCTTTAATGCTATAATTATATGTTTCATGTGTGTTATGCATGTGAATATATAATCTTATTTTAGGTGCGTATAAATAAAATTCATCTTAGAGTACCTAAATCTCTACACTGTCGAGTATCCTAGTGAATGTCCAACCATTATTTGGCTATGGACAGATGTTCTAACTTCTAAGTGGAAACATATAAAGAGGCTAGTCATCTAGGAAGACCTAGAAGGGTCTGTTGTACCTAGAGTTTTTTCAATAGGGGCAAATGCTGATATTTTGAGAAATCACATCTTCCCTAAAATCGATGTCGATGACAGGGTTTATTTCCTATTCTTTCTATATTATTTCTTTTCCTATTTCTGTAAGACAAGTTTAATTAAAAAAAAAACAAAAAAAGAAATTAGAATACAGTATGGTCCCTATACTAATTAAAAAATTAGTTTTTTAATAAATTCAAACAAAAAAATATGAGTCATAATTCCTAAATTAATGCTGAGAGGTTAGGTCCCTTAACTTTTGGTCAGAAATACCAAGAGAGGTGGTTGAGGGACAAAAATACACAAATAAAAGTTGAGGGACTAAAAGTACACAAATACAAAATTTCAAGAACTATAATTATGCTTTACTACTGCTTTGGCAAATTGACCAAGTGTTCTCTCGTGCATGAATAGTCTTTTTCATCACGTCCAACCAGAGTACAATCCATTTTATCATTTAGCAATTAGCAAAAATACACTGCCTATTTCTAAAAAAGGATTATGGCAACATCCCTGGTTTTCATGGATTTGTGTCCTTTTTCGTTGAAGTGGATGTTACTAGTAAATTACTTGGTATAAAGCTTTCACTCAAAAGTAGTTGCATTTCTCTTAGAAGAAGTCAAGTATATATACCTGTATATTTTGGAATTTAATTATAAACAAATAAGATTAATTGACATCTCATTTGTTGCCACTTTGTTGATTTATTGGCAAACCAACTGGCCTCACTTATATAACTTTGTTTTTTTTTTTTTTTTTTTTGACAACATAAGTAATTTATTGTTTCCTCAAAATAATAATAATAATAATAATAAATTATATAGTGACCCTTCACCATGTGGCATCAAAATCTATCATTCAAAAACTAGTTCAAATATTGCCTTTTCAACTTTATTTTACTGGATTTCCTTTACTTTATCCTTTTGTTGCAATAAGTAATCTTCAACAATAGCAATAATATATTTAGTCATTTATTGGGTACGTCGATGAGTGCAAATTAAGAAAAGTGTAGTTTTAGGGTTTGTGTCCTTTGTTTATACACGGTGCCGTGGTTAATGTAATTATATGTTTGGGTGTACTTTATATATAATGCTGCTTAATTTAATTGTTCACATAGTTTTAGGTATGTGTTAAAGATAGAGATGGGATTTCAATTAATTATTTGTTCTTCGAGATTTTGTATGCACCTAAAATAAAAATGCACATTAATCGAAATTTGTTAACAAGCGCCCGGAGCATTTGATAGGGAATAATTATATTGGTTGAAATAGTATTAAGTCATGAATGCATGACAAAATTATGCGTCATTCGATGTAATTAATGTTAATTTTACTCTAATATTTTCACTTTTAATTCCCTTATCTAACGCCCCGGGAGGCGCAAATTAGCTTTTGCCTTAAAAAATACTACCTCCATTTTATATCTTTTACAACTTTGGAATATTTTATATTTTATAAATAATACTCAAAAGTTGCAAAAAATATGAAATGAATATAGTAGATAAATTCGTAGTATATAAAACTGTTATGTCATATGAAATCTTGTTTTAATTTTTCTCTATTTTATTTGTAACTATTAAATTTTTAAAATGGGCATGATTCGAAATTAGACAATATATAAAGGAAATGAAGATATAATGTGTAATTATTAAATAATTAATTGTAACAAAGAAATGTTATTGGTCTAGTGGTAAGGTGCAATTGGACATGAACAAAAGCATTAAGGTACAATTCATTGTTGGCGATATATGAAACAAAAATCATCAACTGAAGACGGTTGTAACGAGTTACAAATTGTTGATATTTTTTCATATTGTTATTATCATATCTTGTATTCGTGTTGGTTCATCTTCTTTGATCCCATGTTAGTTTATCGATCTTCCAATGAAAAAGATGATGATAAAGATATAGGACTCATCCTAAGAAAAATTTAAATGACACCCAAACTAGAGTCCAATTGAGTACCATATCCAAACAGCACAAGCTTGAAAGAAGCTAAAAATCTAACCACCAAAACAATTTCAAAATGTTAAGAGATAAAAGCATTCAATTGTACCCATCATATATAAGCATGGTTTAATCCTATCCTTCACTTTCAGAAAATAACGTTTTCATAGGGACCATATAGTAGCATAATTATTTATTAGAGAATATTAACAAACAACTAAAATAATTTTTAATCAATTCTATGGACTATATGACAGGATGGAAAAGGAAGTATATAGAGACATCATAATTATTCAAATTTTTAAAAATAACAATAAAATAATATTAGGAATGAAAGATAGAAAAATCATGAATTTCATCAACCCTTTTTGCTTGGAGCCAACTTTAATTATTTTAAAGTTTGCTGGCATTTAAATTTTACCTTCATATACATAAACCTGCATACTATGTTAACTCAGTTTTCCAATTTTTAAAAAATTCTCTAACATATTTTTTAATTTGTTTTTCTTGTTGTCAAGTCTCTAACAGATAGATATGTTTTAGCAACCCCGATCAACTAATCAATGCATTGTTCTGCTGTATAATCTGGGGAAAAAAAATCTCCTTAAACTTCTTTGTTTAAACAACAAAAATCTGTTCTCGTAAAACTTCTTTGATTAAACAACTTTGATTTGATGGCTATAGCTTCAACCAAAGTAGAGGCTCCGAGGCGATTATCGGAGCTTCTTAACGAGCAGCAAGAACCGTTCGTGCTAGAGATATACCTACGTGAAAGAGGGTATCGAATAAGAAAAAGCTTGGAGTTAGAGAGTGGATATACTGGTTGTTCTACTACGTCGAATTATAATGTTAAGAACAGCTCAAGCAAACAGAATTCGAAAAAGAGCTCGAATTATCATGTACCGAGTAAGAGTAGCTCTATTTCAAGCATCGCTCGGAGTCTAGTTAATAAACTCGTTTCGAAGAAGGGGAGGAGAACTAGAGCAACAAAAGAGAATGAAGTCGAGCCTACTAATAAATATTCTTCTAATAGCGGCTCAACTACGGTGTCAAATTATACATGGTTTGAGGGCGGTACAGATGGAGATACTATCAGCATCTCATCTCCGGCTCAGAACGAGACTACTCGTGATGATAAGGTAAATTTTTTAGTACTATTTTGTGTATGTTATTGTTGTGAGGTCGGAAACTCATTTATATCTGCTGGCAGTCAGCATCAGATAGATTGATGATTGAATGGAGAAACGTCGAAGATAACAAGCAATGCAGTCCGGATTCAGTCCTTGATGAACTCGATTTTGAGGCTATCCCTGTTTATAATGGTAAGTTTGTTTTATCATAATCTTTAAGTGACGTCAATAAGTTTATACAAAGCCTACAATTTTCATGTGTCAAAATTTGTGTACATAGTGCTAAATTGATTGTTGAGTCATATTTTTGGCACTCTTAAGAAAATTTGAATTCAAATACAAAAGTTAAAAATTGATCAATTCATAATGATATATGGTATTGATAAGTGCGGTTGAAACAGCAAAAAAACCGCAAGAGAGAACACCAGTAGAATCAAGAATAAGGTTTCAGAGAAATGTTTCAGAGGATGCCATTGTATCGGCCTCGCTTTGGGAGCTGCTGGTGCATTTCAGAAACAAGCCAAAGCAGCAAGGGAGGAGAAAACCGTTCCCCGAGTACATGAACTCAAAGAAAGCCTTACAGCACAATCGACAATTGATGTTCGACTGCGTGAGAGAGGCGGTGGAAAGTGGTAAGCAACAGAACAACAGCAACAGAGAAAATGGACTGAAAATGGGACCTGAAGAAATTGGGAAGTTCATTTGTAGAAACTTGAAAGAATGGGGAAAACTGTCTGCTGATAAAACAAACATCAAACAGATACTAAAAATGGACTTATTAGGAGATGATGAATGGGGTGGCTTTGAAGTATGGAAGAGAGAAATTGTTGCTGAAATTGGAAATTGTATCTTTGATGATATTACAGAACATATTATCAGTGACACGATTGATCACTAATGAGTATTAGTATATTTTACATGAGTACGTATATAAGTGTCTGATTCGGTTGTTTTGTGTAAATATTTATGTGTCAAAGTCTCCGTATAAAGTCTATATCGAATTATCAATGACCCAACACGGCAACACAATACCCAAAAAGTACGAAAAATAAATTGAGAGATTTTTTTAGGGGGTTGTATTACTTTTATAATGTATATAATTAGTAATATTTGACAGCACTAGTAATAGGAAAGAATAATATAGTTTGGAATGTATGTTGAAAAAAAAAAAAAAAAAAAAAAAAAAGAAGATTAGTATGTGGATGTTGATGTCATTAACTCAACCACCAACAATAATTAAAGTGATGCAGACATATTTCTGTATATATTTAGAGTTTTTAGACCATATTTGTCGTTCCTCAATCCTCATTGACATGATTAACGGTCTTGGGTCACATTTGCAATTAAATTAGAATAACACATAGCAAAAAAAAAATGAAATTTCAGCTACAAATTATCAAGATAATAAATATTATTAAGTCTAAGTTTGTTTTCATTAGCTAAGAAAATTGTTACATGTATAGTATATGTGGTGTGGACGTGTGGTCTTTGTACACATAGCAGATGACAAAAGTCATTATATTATTGTTTGTTGCTAGTGACCAATTACCTAATTCAATGTAAACCTAATTTTAGAGGCATACACATAAACATAACGAGTGACATGTCCTAATTTCAAATACCAAGATATAATTTTGTTAGCATTTTGTGTGAAATTAAAGAAGAGCCATAAAGATACACTAAGGGACCGTTTGGTTCGCACGGGGTAATCGGAATGGAATGAACAAAGGGAATGAATCGGAATGGAATGAAAATCCCCCAATTTTGTTGTGTTGTTTATTTTGACTAACAAAGGACACACTGCTACCAATCCAATCCCCACACCACCACCACGTAAGTACCCAATTGCTTCACTTCCCACCTTTTCGAGCCACCCCCAGCCACCTCACCACTCACCTCCCCTCCCCCACCACTCGTCGTCCTCCTCCGCCCCTCGCCTCCGTTCACCGTGAGCCCCCGACTACACAATTCTCTTCTCCTTCGAAACCCTAGAATCATTTTCTCTCTCCCCTTAAAATCGTCGGCAGCTCCTCCCACCACCCTCGAAACCCTAGTGTCTAAGTTTTCGAGGGTGGTAGGAACGCCGGTCGGAGATTTTACGGGGAGATAGAAGCTGAATCTGGGTTTTTGCGGGGTTGGGGGAGGTTTTTTTGGGGGGAGAGGAGAGTTGTGAGATCGCGGTGAGCGGCGACGAGAGGGAGGTGCGGCGAAGGGAGGGGGGACAACCGACGGTGAGGGGCTGGGTTTTCCGGTGGTTTTGGTAGGAAGTAGGATGGTGGCATGGTGGTGTTAGGATGGCTAGGGAATGGGAATGGAAATACCGGGGGTGGGGAATGAAGAGGGTAAGGGGAATGGGAAAAAAGGCTTAACAAACAGCAACAAAGGGAATGAGGGTAGTTGATTCTCATTTCCTTTGATGAATACCCCCAACCAAACGACGCCTAATTGCCAAAATTAATAAAATCGAGGTTATCAATCTTTTTTTTTTTTACAAAGGAAACTATCAAAGCACTAGAAAGCATAAAACAGTAACTCCCTGCGACGAGCATCAACAGCAAGAGAATGCGTATCACCCACATCAAATCTCGAAACCTTGCAAATGGAGCAGGCTACAAAAGAGGACAAAATACACCGGAATTCATCGACAATCCAAGTGACCAAAATATCCACCGTACGAGAGGCCGACAGCAACTGCATCATAGCAGAACAGTCAGTGAAAATCCTAAACTTGGTAAACCCTTTTTGACGAACGTGTTGAAGACCCCAGAGGCAGGCTAACAATTCAGAATGAAGAGCAGAACTAGCCATACAAGCCCTAGCCCCACCACCTAAAACCTAAGAAGAAGCAGGATCCCGAAAACACCAACCAGTCCCCGCACAGAAAGAGCCCGAATCCCAAGCACCATCACAAAATAACAAGACGTCATAAACATCCAAGGGAGCACCCTGCAAAATATAAGCTTGAGAACAAGGGGGAAAACCAGGAGGGGAGGAAACCAAGACATTCTCCACTTGGCGAGCTTTATCACTTCTTGCGCTCCAGGACGAGGCTAAGTCAATTATAGTATGCGAAGAAAACACCTCCGAGCGGAATCTGGCCCCATTCCTAGTAAGCCAAATCGCCCAGCAAAGGCCAAAGTGCTTATCTAAATAAACCCAGTTTTTAGAAGTTGCAGACTGCATAATAACACCTGCAAACCAAGACTGAAAAAGGGATGGAATCAACAGGTATCGGAAGAGTACCCTAGGGAACCATATCCCAAATCAACTGAATAAACTAACAACCACGGAAAACATGATCAACGGATTCAGAGGCACAGCCACAGAAAATGCAAGCAGGGTCAATAGGTAGCCCCCATAACACAAGTGAGGACGCAGTCGGGAGAGCATTATGTAAAATCTTCCAAACAAATAACTTCCATTTAGGAAGAATCGGCAAGGCCCAAAAATGCTTCCACCAAGTAGGAGGCAAAACCAAAGAAATAGACGCCAAACAGTGAGAGAGTAAGAAAGTGTAGGCAGATTTAGTAGAGAAGAGCCATCCCTAGTAAACTTCTAGTACATGAAATCATCCATTAATTGCTTCGGGCGCTCCAAACTCAAAATAGCCGAAGCAATGTGCTGCGGGAAAAGATATCGAACAAGAGAAGTCTTCCATGAGAAATCAACAGGGGATAATAACTCAGCCACAGAAGGTCTTTCCGACTCAGGCACAGAATTCTTAAACGAGACCTCCAGACAAGGAACCCAACAGTCATTCAAAATACTAACACAAGCACCTGAACCAATCTTCCAGACCGAACCCCTAGATAACACCGAACAACCAACCAACAAACCTCTACTACCCCAAGAAGGACGAGGACAAGAAATACGGGGTGTAGAAGAAAGTAGATCCGGATACTTGGCCTTCAAGGTTCAGGAAACCAGGAGTTGAGGGTATTGCATCAATCGATTCGATTGCTTAGCCAAAAGGGCTTCATTAAAGGAACAAAAGTTGCGAATACCAAGCCCTCCTAACCCCTTAGGGAGATGTAGTAAAGAAGTAGGGGTCATAGACATACCTCTAGCATCCTTACCAGATTTCCACCAAAACCGGGAGATCGGGGAGTCCAAGCGATCACAAATGGAAGAGGGCACCTTAAAAACAGAAAGAATATGGTTAAACGAAGCGATCAGGATAGAATTTATGATTACCAACTTAGCCGCCTGTGACATCCTTAGAGAAGCAAAAGAAGACAGGCGGTATCAATCTTTGACTTTACACAAATGTTGGAAAGATTGAGGGGAATCACTAAATTTACAATAATCACCAAAATTGTATGGTAGAGAGATAATTCTCATTTAGATTTCACAAAGAGGAAAAATGTGTTCTTATAAAAGGAGTCTTTTCCTATATATAATTGGCTAACAAAGCTCCGATTGATTGTGAATAGAATGAAGCTAAAAAAATAGTTCAATTAACACAATTTCAATCCTTTAGCTAATACGGAGTATGTTTTATGTTTGAGATTTAACCATTGGGAGCATTACATTAGGCTTTGTCAATACAAAAATGGCTCACTAAGCTAGATAGAGGTTTTATTTTTTTTTTCCCGGAGGAAAGCCAAATAGAGGTTGATCTGAGTATTAGCTCACCAAATTCGATCTATGCAAAATTATTATTGAATCTATACTTATATATATTAAAAAGCATTCCTAATTAACAGAATATGTTCCACGTGTTACCTTTTTTAAGTTCGACATGTCAGCAATATGTGCCACGTGTCACTATAAACATGACATGTCACCAACATGTCTTAAGTTACAAGTCTTACCATCTTAGCCATTTATTAATTTTTTTTTTATCCAACAAAATTATGGTTAACTTAGATAAGTTAATTGATGTTTTATTATACTATTTGTTTCCAATATGTAATGATTGAGTTTGTCAATTAAAAAATGTTTATAGCAAGACTTAAACTCGAACCAACAAGTACAAACTAGCAACCCGGGATATCGTGCGGGCCACACACTAGTTTAACATTTAAAAGTCATTCTATAAAACTAATAATCCACAGTTCAATTTGGGTGAGGAGGTTCTTCTTGCGTTGGGCTCTGGTGGCTGTTCTCAATGGTGGTTTAGAGCTCGAAGGTGCGGTAGTTTCTTGTTATCTTCTCTTAGTTTAAAGTAGCTTTGTACTCTGTTTGCTTTTGTTCTTGTTTTAACTTGCGTAGTTTGCTTTGGTTGTTTGGGCTTTTTGCCTAGAGTCTTTGGTTTTGATGTTTTGGCTTGTGCTGGGGCTTCCTTTGGTAGTACCTCTTATGAAGGATAAAGAAGTGTTATCTTTGGGGTCTTATTGGGCAATTTTGCTCTGGTTGTTAGAAATTGCAAGTTCAAGTTCAACCTTGGTTGTGGTGTTGGTGGTCCTATTGAGTGCCTTTATGGGGTGTGACTATGGTTCTCTGGAAGTTATAGGTGAGTGGGTCACCGAGTGTTTTAAAGAGGTTTCGTTTATTAGTAGTGTGGTCTTCCAGGGGTAGGTTTCTGCATTTGGAGTTTGTCGGTTGTAGGTGTTGTTGAGTGGAGAGGTTTGTTGGTTCGTCCTGTTGTTTCGTGGTGTTGGGATGATAAGAGTATTCAGTCAATTACTATCATCCCATTGTTAGTGTTTATGGTGGCATCGTCAGCCATATCTTGAAGGAGGCTCCCCATCTTTAAAGTTTGGGGTAAGCAAAGTCCTCCAATGTCCTGCTCTCTTTGTTGATAGAGTTGCAAGCAGAGAACTTGCATTGTTGTACAAGGATTCTCAAGGTAGAGTCATAAGGAAAAATGACTCTTTTGGTAGTTTTCCCAGACTCCTAGGAAGTAGTTGTGCTTTGACATCCCTGGGAGTGGAATGGTGTCAATGTTCGCGTTTCCTACAACAGGATGCAGTCTTTCGGTCGGTGTTGGTCTCAACAACTTTACTTGTGCTTTTGCTCTTGGGTTATTGCAAGCTTCAGATCTCTATTGGTCCATCTCTAGTCTTTTGGTCCAATTGGCTATTCTTGGTCCACGATGAAGTTTTGGTGGGTTTCTTTTGGTTTTCCCGACTCCGAAGTCAATGGTGTTATGCATTTGGTGGTCTTTATCACGGCTCCAGTTCTTGGTCCTCAACAAAGTTACACAAGGTTGCTAGTTTGCTGTTAGTTTCTTTAGTTTCGTGT